GTTCTGACGATATAGTCTCCTGTAGCTCAAAAGAACTCAACCTCGACAAAGGCTCAGTTGATTTTTCCTGACATATTCCTCGCACTACTTCAGCATATGTAAGAGGTCTTGTGGAGGTCACCACTGCTGGTAAAGGTAAGTTTTCACCTGAGTGTTTGGCTTCAACATTTGGAATAAGTGAATCAGGTGAATCTGCTCTGTTCTCATTAAACATATCTTTCAGACAAATATCAAAGTCCTGCTCATCTGATAACACTGAAAGCGACGATGTTGGTCTTGTGTCTGAACAACTTAGGTAGTAGTTACAGTACTGATCAGATGTCAGGAAAGAAGACAACATTTGGCCTTCAGTTGAAGCCACAGACTCTGGTGAGGATGCTCTCAAATCACTCAGCCAATCAGACAACAGTGCAAAGTCAAAGTCAGAGGACATTGAATCTGGAGATAAAACTCTGTACCTAAATAACCTGTCCAGTTCAAAGTCTGATACAACTGAATGTGGAGACTCTGGTCTGTTCTCATCAAACAGACTTTCCAGACACAAATCCGTTTCCTCCCAGTCTGATAATKTGGATTCTGGTGTAAACGATCTGTTGCATGACAGATCCACACTGCAATCAATATGAGAACACCTGAACTGGGGAACAGGTGAGTCAAGAGAGAGGGGTCKATGCTCTCCTTGAGAACTCATAGACTCAGGAGAAATAGGTCTTACATCATAAAACCAATCTTCTATCAAAGTTGGGCTACTTGGATTTTCCAAGTGTTCTGACGACATAGTCTCCTGTAGCTCAAAAGAACTCAAGCTTGACAAAGGCTCAGTTGGTTTTTCCTGAGTCATACCTTGCACTACTTCAGCATATGTAAGAGATCTTGCAGAGTTCACCACTGCTGTTAAAGGTAAAGTTACAGCAGAGGGTTTGGTTTCAAAAGTTGGAGGACGTGAATCTGGTGAATCTGCTCTGTTCTCATCAAACATATCTTTCAGACAACGGTCAAAGTCCTGCTCATCGGGTAACACTGACAGCGGTGATGTTGGCCAAGTGTCTGAACAACTTAGGTAGTAGTTACAGTACTGACCAGATGTCAGGAAAGAAGACAACATTTGACCTTCAGTTGAAGCAACAGATTCTGGTGAGGATGCTCTCAAATCAATCTGCCAATCAGACAAAAGTGCAACGTTACAGACAGAGGACAATGAATCTGGAGACAAAGTTTGGTAGCTAAATAACTTGTCTAGTTCATTGTCTAATAAATCTGACTGTGGAGACTCTGGTCTGTTCTCATCAAACAGAACTTCCAGACAC